CGAGCCAACGCTCTCACCACTTAAGTACAGTTGAGAACTTGCACCAATACAAACGTTAGACAGGGAGCAGTGTATTGTGCTCCGCAAAACGAATGACTCTCTTGGTGCTCCCATTCTACACTGCCAGGCTTTTTTGCTGCGTGAACATCGCATTTGTAGCCATTTCTAGCAGGGTTGATAACCACTGCAAAAACCAATTTTAAGGTGTTCATGTTTAATATGTTAACATGGTTAAAAAAATGAAGTTTAATCGTAATGGTTCGTATGCATGACCCAGACTTAGTTATAGGGGTAAGTCAAAGTACAACAAAGACTAGCATATTTGAACACACAATCCTGAATTAAGTTCAGAAGTACTATTTTCTTGGCTACCCCTTAAGAGTTTCCATGGCCACCCGTGCTAGTGTCCCCGTCAAGTATTTCTTCTAGAAGTCTATCCCTTGTGGGTTGTGTTGGAGTTGAGCTTCTGCGTCATCTTCTACTGCCCTAAGTTTTATGAGCACGCTTGGTGTGGGAATGCTGAGACTAATACCACCTTTTAACATCCACTTCTGGTTTACTTATTTTTTGGCTTATGGAGACCTTTCAGTGTTAAATATAGTATAGTAACGAAATATTCCAACTTATTGCGTACTTATTCGTTAGGCATTGCGTTCAGATGCTTATTTCATAAAGTCAAAAATGGGTGGTGCGTAGATCCTCTTCCTTTCTATGTATTGGCCCTAAAAAAGTGGGAAAATTCAACACCCCTTCAAGTCTATACGCACGTTGTCTCAGTTCAAATCTCCTTTTCGTGCCCAGAAATCGTCCTTATTAATTTGACACCTGTTGAAAAACAGAAAGGATTATGTGGGCTTTCTTATGACACAAAACAACATTATTTCAATGTCAATTCAATTTTCATTTGTATGGCGCCAATTTATAACAGAAATATCTCAGGACACTTTTCAAATAGAGTCTAGACCGATACTCTTGATCACACCATTGTCACAGAGACCCAACTAGTACCACCATGCAGCAAGCACTTGGCCGACGTGGGCCTCGGAAAAGACCTCCACCGGTTTAACAGCAGAACTGTAGACAGACCTTCGGCCTCGTAGGTGGTTGCTTCTCTGCCTCGGACCAGTTTGGGGGGAAAGAGAGAAGAGAACTGTGAGAGAGGGTGTGCAGACGTGTACAGCATGACAACAGGTTAGCACAACGTACAGTTCTGTATAATGACCGGTGTGTGACCGATTATACATCGCATGGCTAATATGGGTGTAGTAATATGTGTGTCCGCTAGATGTTCGTGTGCCATGGAGGATAAGACACAAGTGAGTCTCGGACTCTCTTGCCCAGGAACAGCTGTTCATTAGTTAAAGAAATTATGAATTACAAATTAAGGGATGATATAGACAATTTAGGGCTGTATGAAATTAACAAGTCTACAGCTGTAGAATGCTTAGGTGGTACAGCTAGGTTGGACCATGTTCATCGGAAAGCCATTAGTTCGGTATGGGCGTAACTAATGTAGCACTCCCAACAGACTAAAATTGAACAGCAATAAACCCAATGCCATTGCCATTTGGCTGTTGAGTGTCTTTGTGTTAATAACTTACCATCTATGAGGTCACAGAAAGGTTCAAGTACTGCACATACTTGAGGGTATAGGTACGGTATATATATATATATAACATAATAAATATAGTATCATAATATATTAATTGAATAATAGAAACCCCGCTCAAACCATGCTCTACATTTCCTTTTGTAGAAAATATAAGACACAACACAAAGATGAAGGTAGAGGTCCTAGACTCAGTGAAGAGAGATGTCTTCATACGGCCTGAGCAGTGGAGACGGCCTAAGTTGAGGAGAACCTCATTCGTTACGAACCTTGTTTTCTGGTGACTTCTTACAGGGGGCTCACTTTACCTTACCGCGCCTCTCTCCCATATGCTATAGTGGGCTAAGAGCACAGATTTTTAACAGTGGATGTAGGTCAGGTTGTTTAAGTCGGCAATGTCGCTGTTGGATATTTGAACAGAATGGCGAACGCTTAATTTAAAAGCTATTTTCAATGACACAGCCTCAGTCGACTCAGTTTATTGCATTAATGAGACTGCATACTGTTACTGATTGAAATAGTAGTATGAAAGGAGGTTAATCATTCGAGTGATCTTGTTTATCTTATCTCAAATGTTAGGTAGAAATTTGATACTACAATGCAGTGCAGATACGGTAAGATGGAACCGAAATGGGGTGAAGCTCTTCAATGAATCTGCATGTCTGACCAGGTGCAGGAGACACCAACTCCCTATACCATCGGCATCACCACAGTAATATCTGCAGGTTGTAACCGAATTCTTATTATTTTCAGGGATCAACATATACTCCACAAGAATCAATATTCGATATCTAGCACAATACAATGACTATTTCTGCCAAATTGCATAGTTGATGTCTCAGGTGTTTGGGTGTGTAAAGCATTTTTAATGGTGACCTAAATTAATGCGAAGTTTCTTTGCAACCCGTATAGGTAAAACTGTCCGTCTTGAAAGTAAGACCTTAAGACACATCATAGTACTGATCTACTGCTTTGTGTATTGATTTTTGGTCCACTCGCAGCACTAAAACACTAAGCAGCATGGACATTTAATATGGGTCATATAAGTTGTATGCGTTGTATCCACCATACTCCTATAAGCAAACTATATCTGGCTAAAAATACCAGACCTGAGGGGACTGCCAGGTCTGCTTCCTGAACAGGTGATTAAGGTTTAGCTCATTCTAGACAGTCCTGCTCCGCTGTTTTTGGCTCTGTGGGGTTACTTGCACGTCCGGAACATAAACAGATTGGCAGCACCTGCTCTATTTGAAAAGTGTCCTTGAGATAACTTCTGTTATGAATTAGCGCTATACAAATAAAATTGAATTGAATTGAATTGAATAATGTGTTTTGTGTCATAGAAAGCCCACATATCCCTTTCTGATTTTCAACAGGTGTCAAGATTATACATTTTGGGCAGAAAAATGTTAGTGAGGAAAATTGTTAAGAATACATAAATGTAAGAGTGATCTACACACATTTTTGATATGTTGCAATCCAATGCTACATACCAACAGTATGAACTATTCAGTATATACTATATCTTAACACTGAAAGGTCAAGCCAAATTAAGTAAACCAGTGAGGATGTTAAAGGTGGTATTAGTCTCACATTAACAACTGTATCAAAATTAGCAGTAGAATGAGGGAGAAGTCAATCAAAACACACACAGGGATAGATCTAAAGAAATATTGACGGGGTAACTAGAGGGTGGCATGGAAACTTTAAGGGGTAGCAGAAATATATTCTGATTTAATTCAGATTGTTTTCCAAATATGTATTTTGTATTTGAACTTAACCCTATAACTAAGTCTGGTCATGATAGATCATTACATTAACTTCATTTTTTAACATGTTAAATATTAAAATGAAATTATTAAAATGTTTTTGCAGTGTTATCAATGCTAGAAATGCTACAAATGATATTCAGCTACAAAAAAAGCCTGGCAGTTAGAATGGAAGCACAGAGAGTCATTGTTTTGGAGACAATACACTGTCCTGTCTAGTTGTATTGGTGCAAGTTTCAACATGTATTATTGTGAATCTTTGGTCTAAACAGAGCTAAGATATACAGTATATGTCAGGAGGGATTGGTGTCTTATTTCATGATGTTTCAGTATTATAACAACATGAGTTTCAGGAGTGTCACACAGGACTGAGGGTCTAGTGTGTGTCACCTGGATCGTCTGAAGCCAGGCAGTCCAGAGTGGGATGCCTCCTCAATGAGCGGTGTCACAATCTTCTCGATCATGTCCGTCAGCACGGTAAATGTTGGCTCAACGATGAAGTCAATGAATCCTGCAGGATACAGGGACCATGCCAGATTAACATTCTCTTTACATTCTACCTTCTGCTTTTTTTTTGTTAAAACCAGGAAACCATTAGATGTCTGCATCTGTAGTATACAAGATCTTTACAAAACCATCTGAGACTGTGTCAGTCAAATAATCAAGTAACAAGTGTTTCTCGCTTATCTAGCAATTCCAATCTTTGTGTTTTCATTTCAGGGATGTAAACAATTCATTGTGATTCCAAAGAAGTTTAAATATGTATTCAAGTTCCTATATGCAATGTTTACATTTATTTGCATGATTTTTAAGGTCACTGAATAGACAAAAATAAACAAAATGCAGGACGAATTCTCTAGAGATTCAGTAAATCAGTGGATTCCATAACATAGAACGGGGACCAGTGCTGAACTGTACAATGGCTAAACCTGTTGGATTAAAACATGAAAAGCTGCTGTCATAAATTAACTAGATAAACAGACTTGATTTTTGGTGTTAAATACTATGAATCCCACACTGAGCAGCATTACTTGTATTTGTGTGCCTTACCGATCTGGGACTGGGCCACCATGGTGGATTTGCGGTCACAGAGAGGGGAGAAAGGTAGACCTAGCTCTGCTTCTTTATCACCCTGAAAACAAATTCAACATCACTAGGTACTGTCAGCACAGGTGCACTTGGGCAGGTTCACTTAAGGTCAACAGCCAGCAGAGACAGCCAATCAGACCAGTTTGGCCTGTGAAACACATATACCTCTAACTGTGAGTGTACATCTGGTTGTGACAGAAATGTCTCTTACACCTCTGCAATATTTATCATGAAAAGCAAAATGCTGAAACTGATCTGCAAACTTCAATTCTTTGCTTGTCATTACTATTTATGCTGGGATCCTGTTGAAATAGTTACAACATTTTTACTATGATTGATTGATCAACATGTCTTGATCTAATCCTCTGTGCAAAGCAAATTACCAATGAAGCATAAATTAGTCAGCTCACTGGTTAAAAGTGAGCCAGTGTTATGATAGTAGAAAGCCTGTGTTATGAATATTCTGTTGGGAGAGGGCGATAGCCAAGAGTGCATTGTGCTTAAAAAGAAAAAAGTGTTTTAAATGTTAAATACTTAATGTAATGTGTTTCTTAATGTTTGATTAAAATTGTTTGTGGTGTGGGGATATTGTAACTCCTTAAAACATACATTTTGTACAGAACATACTTGTCAAGTACAGTAGCTACATATAAATAATAAATAATATGAAAACAAACCACTTTTAACCAATTCAAATGAAATACTTCATCCTATAGCAGAAAACAAAAAGAAGACTTTTTGGTATTGTCAGGATCTCCCATTTATTTATACCTGTGCTTTTGCACTACCTTTCATAAATATCTTTTCCAGAAGATAAAAAAATATTATATAATATATTTACGTATTGAGATATAAACTTTGCCAAGCATCACAACTGTGGTTAATAATGTATTTTGATGAAAATCCAAATAATGAGAGTTCAGTGCGTAGGATTTAATCAACTAGCGTTCCAGTTCCTGAAAAGCGTGAAAAACACAAATGCCCCTACCTAGAGCCAGTGTTTGGTTTGTCCCTTGTGGGCTATTGGAGAAAGATGGCATGACAGACTCTAGGAAGGTGAACTGTGGCATCTAAAAAGCTCATTCTAGGGTACCAAAGACAGAATGATTCTTATTTTCAGGTAACTATACTAATTATAAAGGAAAATTATTGCTTTTTCAGATAACGAATCTATCACCTGCTGCCAAAAGGATGCAACAAGTGGCCAATAGCCAAATAGATGCATATTGTACTTGCTCAAGTGCACTACTTTTTCCTTCATCAAGTACTACTTTTAGTGGTTCTATAAAACACAGTGCAGTTGTTCTACTAATGCTTTGTGCATCCACGTCCAGCATAGAACTTGGCTCTAGGTGGGTGGCCAACTGCCTCGACCAGTTGGGGGTGAGGAGAGAGAGAGAGAGAGAG